TAAAGATTTCTCTCTCTTCCCCACCGCCGCCTCCCCTTTCCCTCCCCCTCTCCCAATCAAGTCCCCCTCCCTCGTCAGCCCAAAGAGCAATCAGGGTTCCCTGCCCTGTGGGAAGTCCAAGGACCACCCACCTCCATCCAGGTCTAGTAAGGTGAGCATCCAAACTGCCTAGGCTCCCACAAAACCAATAAGTACAGTGGGATCAAAAACTCATTGCCTTTTATAGGTGAATTGAGACCATTACTATTAAGTGATATTAATGACCAGTGGTTGTTTACTCCAGTTATTCTTACTGTTTTTGGTAGTAGAGTTTTTGTGTCTCCCTTCTTTGAGCTGTGCTGGTGAAGGGTTACTAGATGCCTGAGTTATTGTAGGCAGTGTTGGCAATATAGGATTCCTTGGGTTGTGATTTTCCTTCTATTGCTTTCTGTGAGGCTGGATTTGTGGCTACGTATTGTTTAAATTTGTTTTTATCCTGGAATGTCTTGTTTTCTCCATTGATAGTGAACGATAGCTTGGCTGGGTATAGTAGTTTGGGTTTGCATCCTTGGTCTCTTAGTTTCTGCAGTACCTCTATCCAGGACCTTCTGGCTTTCATGGTTTCCGTAGAGAAATCAGGTGTAAGTCTGATCGGTTTACCTTTACAAGTTACTTGGCCTTTTTCCTTTGCAGCTCTTAATATTCTTTCTTTAATCTGTATATTTTGTGTTTATTATTATATGGCGAGGGGATTTTTTTTTTATCCAGTCCATTTGTTGTTCTGTATGCTTCTTGAATATTCAAAGGAATATCTTTTTTATGTTGGGAAACTTTTCTTCCATAATTTTGTTAAAAATATTTTCTGGGCCTTTGAGCTGTGACTCTTCTCTTTCTTCTCTTCCTATTATTCTTAGGTTTGGTCTTTCTATTGTGTCCCATATTTCCTGAATGTTTCGTGATGAGAATTTGTTGGCTTTGCTGTTTTCTTTGATCACTGCGTTTATTTTCTCTATGGTGTCCTCAGAATCTGAGATTCTTTCTTCTATCTCTTGTACTCTATTGATTATGCTTGTTTCTGTAGTCTCTGCTCGTTGACCTAGATTTTCCATATCCAGCTAGTCCTCAGTTTGTGTTTTCTTCCTTGCCTCCATTTCAGTTTTTTACTTTTGAACTGTTCCCATTACCTGTTTGATTGCTTTTTCTTGGTTTCCCAGAGTATCATTTATGTATTTACTCATATCTTCAAACTTTTTGTTATACTTCTCATCCATTTCTATAAGGGCATTTTTTACATGTTGTTTAAGGAACTCTATTGCTTTCATAAAGTCAATTTTTTCCACTTCTTCTGTGTTAGGGTGTTCAAGTCCTTCTGTTGTAAAATCATTGGATTCTGGTGTTTTCATGTTGTTTTTGAGATTATTGGGTGAATTCTTGCCTTGGCACCTGCCCATATCCTCCTATCGATGCTATCTAATGGGTCTTTTAAAACAAGCTCAGGTTTCCCTGCTGGCCAGGGGCTCTGCTTACAAAATGCCCTCGCTCCGTTTCCTGGGTTCCCGCTGCGGGCCAAGATCCCTCTCACCACTCAGAAGGGTCTTCAAAAACAGGACCAGGCTCCCCGTTCGCCAGGGATCTCGCCAACAAAAGGCATACCACTCTGCAGGCCAGCCACCAAAACAGAGAAACTCCCACTGTCCTCTGCCCCAAGCTCCCAACCCAGCACCCAAACAGGCTAAACTGGGTGATCCTCTGAAGAACCCCTCACAGCTGTAGACAGTCCATTCTTGGTCCCCTTAGTCCACGCAACCACACATACATCCATCGCTATAGAGAATTTCTGGGCATTTTATAGATATGGAATTAGTCATTATGTGGCCTTCTGTGTATGGCTTCCTTTACTAAGAAAAAATATTTTTGAGATCCATTCACTCACAGAATGTATTAGCATTTTTTTCCTTTTATTGAGGAATACTATTTCATTGCATGGCTTGTTCAGGTTTATTTTTCAACTCTCCAACAAAAGTACATTTCAACTCTTCCTAAGTTTTGCTCTCAATAATGCTACTAGAAAAATTTGCATATAAGCTGGTGAGACCATTCCTTTTCACATGTAAGAGAACACTTAGTAGTGGAATTTTTGAATCATAATTAATATTATGTTTCATTTTATTTTTGTATGTGTGTGGATGTGCAGTATACATGCATGTATGTAAAAACATTCACAAGTGGGAGGGCTTATGTGTGCAGATGCACATGTATGAATGTGCACATGTGTGTAGAAGTCAGATGTTGATGCTGGGAGTCTTTGTCCATCTCTCTCCATCTTATATAACAAGGCAGGTTCTCTCTCACTTGAACCCAGAATGTGGAAATTCAGTGGAGTTAACTCATTTTATTTATTGGGGTTAACCCAAGACCACCTATCTAATTTCTGTTAGTTCTTTATAGTCTTTCTTTCATTTCCACAAGCATGTAATCCAAGTCCTGATAACCATTTCCCCATTGTATTTCCTTCTAGCATGTCCACAGGACACGAGAACACAGAATCTATATTCCAGCTCTTCAGAGTACTTAAATTGGAAATTTCAGATGCAATAAAAGATTTATTTCCTTTTCTAGAGGTCCTCCGTGACAATAATGTCATCAGCAATAAACAGTATGACGTAAGTGAAGTTTCTTACATCCTGACCCAGAAAAAAAAAAAAACCTCCAAATTAAGTTACACTTTGATATCTTGAACCAAACATATGATTGGCAGTTTAATTTAAGATTGGACTTAAAAAATTAAAAATAAAAAAATGATGGAGTTATTTTTAAAACAAAGTACTCATCTCTCTGCTCGTGGTGTGTGTGTGTGTGTGTGTGTGTGTGTGTGTGTGTGTGTGTGTTCACATGGGTGCTGGTCCCTACAGAGTCTGGTAAAGATCTCCAAATTCCCTGGAACAGGAGATACAGGCAGTTGTGAGACACCTGATGTGGGTGCTGGGAATCACCCTGGGTCCTCTGTAAGAGCAGCACGTGCTCTTAACCACGAGCCAGCTCTCCAGCCCCTGGACCCAATTTTTGACAAAGAATTATTGGCAAAATTTTCATAGCACTTTGTACAGATATTAGTTGCAATAATAAATTCATGAATTGTGCATCAGAATTCTGAACTCAGGTTTAAAATCTGTCTTTCCGGGAAGTGACATGTATCATGTAAATATTTCTGGAAGTGTTCTCTCATTGTATCAAGGGGAGGAGAAGCAGAGGACTCAGGAAATGGTCCTGCTTCTATCTGAGGGGAAGGTGTTCCATGATCCCTTCTGGAATCAGGGAGAGTATTGTAGAAGACAAGCCAGAGTAGAATAGGGGTTCTCCAATGATGGGCAATGTCTTATGCATTTCACACATGTGAATTATGCTATTAAAACTAAACGGAACTAACAAAATAAACTAAAACTCAAAGTGATTTTAATTTACTATTGAATTATTTTAATGAAATGACTTAAGGGATATTTCAGTGAGCACATTTTATGTTAATAGACATCTATTTTAAAACCCTAGCTCTGAGAACATAATACCTACAGAGTCTCTTTTAGAGCAATTTTTTGAACCTATTCATTTTTATTTTATGTACACAAGTGTTTTCTCTGCATGTGTGCCTATGCACCACCAGTATTCCTGGTGCCTCTGGAGGGCAGAAGAGAGCTCCTGATCCCCAGACACTGGAGTTACAGGTGGTTGTGAACACCATGACAGGGCTGGGAATCGAACCCAAGACCTCTGCAGGAGCAGCAAATACATTCAACCACTGAATCATCTCTCTAGCTCCTTTAATTTTTTTTTTTTTTGCTTTATGAATATTTGGCCCTCCAGTAGAGTTCACGGTCAGAGGGAATGGACACCTAGTTTCCTACAGGAGGAAAGGTGGTGTCAGACTAACAGAACAGCATTGGCCACCTGCCATGTTAGCTAACTGGTTTTTGTTGTTGTTTTTTAAGAATGCACCTATTTTATTTTTTTATGTGTACAAGTATTTTGCTTGTGTATATGTGTGCACACCATTTGTGTCCCACAAAAGAGCACCAAATCCCTTGTTTTTGAGTTACAGGTGTTTGTGAGTTATTGTGTGGAAACTGAGAACCGAACTAGGGTTCTATGCAAGAGCAGCAAGTACTCTCAAAATGAACCATATCTTTAGTCTCTCCATTCTAAAAAATGCATTTATTACTTATTTACCTGTAAGTATGTGTATGTTTGTATTATGTGTGCATGCGTGTATGAGCCTGCTGCTCTGCACGTGCAGAAGTCAGAGGACAGCCTGTCCCTAGTTGGCTCTCCTCTTTCACCATCTGAATCCCAGTGACTGAGCTCAGACCACCAGGATTGGTAACAAGTGCCTGTAACCCACTGAACCATCTCACCAGCCCCATTGTAAACCCTTAGCCCTAGTGTTCAGTTGTTACAGAAAGTGGCCCTTCTTACATGTCATAGAAATAATGGTTGGAGCTCAAAGTCACTAGCTAGTATTTTCACAGAGAAAATATGCACTTGTTTCATAAAGTAGCCATGCAAATATAAAACTTTTCACTAGAAGATATGTCTGTTGCGGATTGAGGTACACTAACTATAGTTGTTTCCTAGGGTTCTTCTGTGACCTGGAAGTCTGCACTTAAATTTTCTCCATTAAATATCTTTAAAGGATTTTCAAGAATCCCGTGGAAACCTGATCCCTGTACAAAAAGTGGTCTACAAAGTCTTGAAAGAACTGGAAGAGAAAAATGACCTGGAGGCTCTAGGGTTATTGTTCTGTAAGCAAAATATGAAGGCATACCCTGATTTGGAACACATTTTAAAAAGATTTAAAAATGGTAATTGGGCTTAGTATCAACCTTGGAGATCACAGTCCTTATTTCCCCTCAATAACCATATATTAAACATCCAGTGCTGCACAATCTGAGCTATAGCAGTTTAAAAACTAACATGTTATGTATCATCACAACTCTTATATCTAATAGCTACAGTTCACATCCTCCCGAGGTCTGGTAGGCTGGGTATTTAGGTATGAGAGCCCCATGAGCATCAGGCTATGGAGAAGAGGACAGGAAGAACTCAGTCCCAGTAGGGTAGCACTGCTGTGTCTCTTCAGTGGAGCCCTTATAATATTATACATAGGAGTCCATCAGGTTCACTACCCCCCACCTTGAGTGGCAGCTCTGCTCTGGGTTGCAGGATCCATCTTAGCTTAGTACCACATGCTCATAGAAATCAACAATGTATGAGCCAGTTCTTCAATCCCATCTTGTCCGTCTTTTAAGCCTACCCATCATCAAGTTCCCTTTGGTATGTGCCAGATCCTAGACCTTCCATCCAAGAAAGATCCCCTTTCTTCTTACAGTTGTGACAGACTGGAAGCCATGTTCAGCTTCTTTTTTTTTTCTGTGTTGATGTCTACCTTCCCTGCCCTGTGAATACTGGAATAGGAACACAGCAGAAAATGTGTCTTCTACTTTTTTAATCTTGACCTTGAGTGTCTCCTTTTTGTATGGGAAGCATAAACTCTCCCCTGTGGGAGTCTTCTCTGTCCCAGGACATGCTGGGTGAACATTGTGATGTTGGACACATTGAATATGAAGTGATGGCAAGACTGGAAGTTCCTATATGTGTAATGCAGAAATGTTGCCCCTTGTCCCTGCTAAGGATCTCTAATGGCTTTCTCCTCATCTTCCCTCTCCCTCCTACTTCAGTTTTACCACAGAACAAATTTTTGTCCAAAGAAATTGATAGAAGAGACCGGAACTCACAGCTCAGTGTTGAACAAGGTAACTATACCTGGAGAGAGGTTCTTATTGCCACAGAGACCAGCAAGTAAAGGTGATCCTTAGGAGAAGCTGCGCACTCGAATTCTGAGGCAGAAAGATTGAGTTTGAGAACAACCAATTGTACATAACAAAACTCCCTCAAAAAACAAAACAGATACCTGAGAAGTCAATTAACTTCAGTTCATGATGTTAGGAACTTCAGCCCAGATGGTTTGACCTCATTTGTTATGGTGGGCATGACACCAAAGGAAGGGATTGGGAGAAGCAAGGCTGTTTACTTCATGGTGACCTGGAAGCAAGGAAGGAGTGGATGTGCCTGTGTCCTTCAAGGATACACCTCAGTGATCTAAGTTTCTTCAGCTCAGCTCTGCCTATTAAAGGTAAAACCAACACCAAGTAGTGCCATTCTGAGGGGGAAACCTCTAGAACATGAGTCGTGGAAGGAGGAGGCACTTGAGATCCAAGCTAACCAGCCTCTAGTAGGATGGAGGATACTGGCAGAGCAACCATGGCAGCAGACAGTCAGCCTGCTACCCATGATGACGGAACCTGAACCCAATGGTAGTAGAAAGATTGAAAGAGACTGACTACTCAGAAATAATTGTGACTTAGAGAAGCCTCTGACGGAGGTGACCAGTATGGAATTGTGAAAGGTGAAGCAATGTGGTCCACGGTGACATCAAAGAGGAAATGCTCTGTAAGAGAGTTGTTCCTGTTTTGTCCTGCCCTTATATGCACTGGTCTCTGACACCAGATGCAAGGTGATTGGGGTTTTTCCACACCAACCAATTCTCCAGACACCAGCATTTAATTAAATTCAGATAAAATGTTCAGGGCCTCCCTACTTCAGAGGCTGGTTACAAATGCTGGGGTGTGACATAGATCAGAGGTTACCGTGGCCCCTCAGGCTACAGAACTGTTAGCATAGCTCATGAACCTCAGGGGAATGTTAACTTACAATTCATTAGAAAAGTCATCCCTCAAAAATAGCCAGCTAGGGTGAGGGGAGTTGGGGAGATGACTCAGGTGTCAAAGTGCATACAGGGCTTGAGTTTGATCCCCTAAACTCATGTAAAAAAAAAAAACCAGCTCAAGACACAGGGGCAGGAGCTGTAATCCTAGTACCAGGGGGGCAGAGACAGGCAGCTCCCTTGAGATCAATGCCCAGGAAATTGATGGGGTTTAGTCCAGTGAGAGACTCCAACTCTATAAAAAGAGGTTGATGCCACCTGAAAAATGACAACCAAGGTCATCCTCTGTTCTCTGCACATATGCGCACACGAACAATAACCACATGGGAGAGGGACACCCCAAGGAATAGTGGGGAGAGAACACAACACTCTATTGTCTTCCTGGGGCACACCACCCTTCCTGCACTATGGAGTTTGCCAGCCCCAATCCCTCTGAACAGAGTCTCTTAGGATCTTTAATAAAATTTCCATCATACAGGCATGGTGAATAAAATCAGTAGCCATGTGATCAAGTCAATTTCTAGGTCTCCTCACCTTGTAGGTCAGGGTTCCCATGCTGTCATCATGTTTTGTTCCCCTGGCAACCAGCCCTCCATTCCTAAGGGCTTTCCAAACTTTATTTCTGTAATGTGCACTGCAGTATTACTGAGGAAGGCCAGCTATGCTCAAGGGTAGACTGACTCTCTTTTCACCTTAATCACTTGGAGCTCACCCAGAATTTGAGGAGCTCTGGCCAGAAACCGGGGATGAAGACCAAAACTACCATTTCTTCTTATGTCACATTGTCACACTTGATGTTAGAAGAGATGGATTCAAACATGAGAAATGTTGTTTGAGAGCAACAATATTGCAGAGAAAGATAGATAAAGGAATACACACAGCAAGAAAGTGGTAGAGGTGTGGGAAGGGCACTCAGATTCTTTGAGACAGAGAAAGGAAGAGGGAAGGGGATGAATGAGAGCAGAAAGAATAACAGACAATGGCAGAAGGATCCATGTTGCTAATTTCTTCCTTTGGTTAGCATCAAACAAGGTTTCCTCTACCCCAGCTGGTATAAAGTATTGGTATCATTCAGATGCCCAGTTAATAGGTGAGGAACCTAGTCTTGAGAGAGACTGTGTGTGGAGTGTTCACAGGGTCATATGAAAAGCAAGAATCCAGGCACTAAGGAGGCAGAGTCTGTGTTCTTGACTGTGTACTGCTAATCTCGTGGAAAACATGAAACAGAAGTAGGGGAAATAGAGAGGGAAAATACAAGAAGGAATAGCAGGAATGGGAGGGAATGGAGACAGGCTGTTCCTGAGTCCTCATGAGAAGACCAGCAGGGACGAGCCATCAGATATATACGGGGAGGCCATTTTGTGAAGAGAGGTGATCCAGAGACTGCTAGAAACTCAGGTAAGGTCTCTGGGCTGGGAAGCTCCGGGGACACGTGCAGGCATGCTATAAACATGGATATGAAGACAGATCACCACCAGGTGCTAGAGTGACCCAGGCGGTGCTTTCTCAGTCAGAGCTGACCCTTACAACCTATTCTCATGACCTGAGTCTGACCTCAAGAATCATGGCGAGCTTCTCAGCTCCAGATGAGATATGGATTGATGCTTCAAGGGCTTCTTCAGCCTTTGTATCACAACAAACATCTGATTTTTGTTCCTTAGGACCTGGTGACAGCTGCTCTCAAGAAAGCCTGACCTGGTCACCCTCAGATCCCTCCTCATCTGATGGTCTGTTCTCATTGACTCTGTTAACATTGCTGTCTCCTCAACTATCAATATAATAATGAATATGAATAAGAATATTATATCCTTTTCTAATATATTAATCCAGGTATTCTTGCAATTATCTTCTGAACGACTTTAAAATGATAATGTATTATTACATTTTCAAAAGGTAAAAAGTTCATTTCATGGGATCTAATCTTTTACCCAACTAATTGTTAAGATTCAATTATCCGTCAAGGTCCTGGCAGATTAGAAATGTCTGGGTTCAAATTCTGCCTCTGTGATCCCAGACAGGTTATCTATCCTCTCTGGGCCTTGGAGTCATCTCCTATAAAAGGGATGTAACAGTGGTCCAGGCTCCAGATGGACGTCAAATGATGCCATGAAGAGCATCAATACTCGTGTTTGGTACTTCATCTCTGTTGGATGTCACTTGTTTCTTGTTGTTATTACTGATTCAGTCATCAGTGTCAATTTACCTGCTTCCAGAATCTAAGCTTCTCACACTGCATAAATGGGATTTCTTCTCTCAGGATGTCTAACATGGATACTCACTATGAAATCCATTATTCCTCAGGCTGGAGAAGTACCCAGGGAACCCAAACTGAGAATCGCCAATTCTCCATCCCTCAGATTCACAGTGGTATGTATGCAATAGTATATATATATTTTTTATTCCATGACTCATCTTTGCAAACACCTCTCTGGCTCTTTGAAGGGTTACTGTGTGGATTTCAGGTGGGATATGTCATTTAAGAAGAGATTTCTTAAAATTAACACTTCATTTTAAAATGCTTTCAAAGATTTACTTATTTTTGTTTTATCTGTGTGTGTGTGTGTGTGTGTGTGTGTGTGTGTGTGTGCGCGCGCGCGCCATGTATGTCCCTGGTGCCCTCAGAGGCAGCCAGAAGTAAGTGTCAGATTCCCTGAAACTGAATTTACAAACAGTTGTAAGCCATCATGTGGGTTCTGATAACCATACCCAGGTCCTTCACATGAGCAGCAAGTGCTCTTGACCACTGTGACATCTCTTTCCAGGGTTATCTCTGAAATAATTATTATATATCTTAAAAATCTTTCATTCAAAATTTTAACATTTGAGACTATAGCAATATATGAGTCTGTATTGTTTATTGTTCTTCTGCAGGTGCACAGTGTGGGAATAAGAAGCACTGAGAGGGTGGGATTGTGGTTAGGGATGAGTAGAGGGACCAGATGCAGGAGGGATGCAAGAGAAATAGTAAATTCTTGGTGAGTCTGTGTGGTCTGGGCCAACCCTCCCTGGTAATGGCATCCTAACAACACCAGTGACAGGGATGGATGAAGACACAGAATTATCAACCCACCACCCAGATGGACCACAGGGTGAACAATTAGACACCAATGTATGTGTCCAATAGTCTGACCCAGCAGAGACACTGGCTGTGATGGACACAAATGGGGCTAGGACTGTACTCACGCCCATGGCTGTAAAAAGCATGGGGTCTAACCACTATGGACTGTGACATAAAGTGTGAACCCAGGTCCACATTGTATGTTAAGACTTCTATAATTAAATTTTCAATTATTTTCTCTAATTTAACTTTGTGGAGAAAATATTAAATGAAAACCAAGAAACTGTACTGTATATTGTATTATTTGTTCACATCATACCATTGAGGTTGGTGGAGTAGAGTGGGCAGGACAGACAGAATCCACCATGGGCAAGGGAGGGTTTCTATAAGGGAAGAGAGGACGTCGGCTCTGAATTTGTTTGCTCTGGGACTCTTTCTCCATACAGGCCATGCTTGCCCCTGACCCTTACCTCTGGCCTCAGGTCTCTGCTTTCTTTCTTGACAAGTTCCCTTTCTAGCCAGCTTCCTGCAGAATTTCTGACAAGAGAGGCATTTGCAAAAGCGTTTAGAGAATAAAGACAGCAAAACCCAGGCCTCCTTCATCCCTATCTTGGTTCTCAGTTTGGCAGCAGATGCAGCAGCACCACCTTCCATGGCTCCACATCCCTCCTGCAGCCCAACCCTGCTGCAGATTCTGAGTACCTAATCACCCTGTCATTACCTGCTAGGCTCCTCCTTCAGTCCCTCCCCCGGTTCTCAATCCTCTCTGTCTCTCTGTCTCTCTGTCTCTCAGTCTTCAAGGCTTAGAGAGGAGATCTCTCTCTTCCTATTGGATCCTAATGTAATGGGCAAATAAAATAGTTACAAAAAAATCTGTTTCAGTTGTGAGTTTATCTGAAAATGGACTCTCAGAAGACCTCTATGAAATAGTAGACATGAAAGAAAATACCACCGGCGATGACACTGATGGACTGCAATGGCCCCAAGCAGCCAGACCGCCAGGCCCAGGTTCTAAGCCAGAGGGTAAGATGGACTGAATATGAGCATGAAGGGCCAAGCTCTGGGAGGGAGCAGAGGAAGGCACTGACTGGTGTCTGATACAAGAAGAAAACTGCTTAGGCATGAAGAAGCAAAGAAAACTCTTGATGCACTGTTGAGACCTTGAGGGGGCTGTTGAAAAAGAAACTCCAGAGAAAAAGAGTTGGAAAAGTCTTACCAGGGAAAAGAAAAGTTAAGAAATAAGAGTCAGAGGGTTTGGCTAGGGATTCACGAAGCACAAATGCCTCCCAGGGTGGGGTGGCCACATGTGCAGATGGGGCTAGAAGTAGGAACGAGAGATGAGATCAGGGTGAGGGATGAAGGTGGACACTAGGAAAGAGCAAGGCTCTGTGGGATCTCACCTGTGACCTTTCTTCTTCAGAGTCCTGTGAACTAAAAGTCCAACTGAGTGGCAGAGATGCAGGCCTGGAGCCTCACATACCATTGCCCCGGAGCAACGAAAGTAACTATTGTTTCCCTCCCTGGCTTTGTTTGTCAGGTGGTCTATGTGTTGTAGAGCTTTGTTTGATTTGTTTAAAAAATCTTAATCATTTTCAAACTTGACTATTGAAAAAAGTATCATGTATATTTGGGGTTAGGAGTGTAGCTCAATGGTGGAATGCTTGCCTAGCATGTGTGAGGTCGGTGGTCCAATTCTTGCACTACACACATACACACACACACACACACACACGCACCCACACACAAGCACATCATCTCAGAGGCAGTGTGCTGTTTTACATATGCACTGTGAAGTGGCTGCGTCAAGGTATGTCTGTTACCTCATATACATTTTCGTGGGAAGGATATTTAAAATGTATGACCTCAGCAATTTCTTGAGAACTCAATATATTGTTAGTCTTATCATGTTGTATAATGGATGTCTTAACTTATTCTTCCTGACTGAAATTTTATGTCCACCATGGCCTCAGCCCCCCTCCTCCCTCCCACTTTACGCCCTCTGAGCCGGACCCTCTCCCAAGCCTCCTAAAGTGAAATCATGTAGCTCTAGCTCTTCTGGGCCTGGCTTGCTTCATGCTTGCTCATCCATGTTGTCTCCGCTGATGCAGTCTCCTTCACTTTAAGACTGTCTGGGAGTCTCTCCTGTGTGAACACCACACTCTCTCCAGATGCTGGCAGCTGTTCACGCTGACTCCATACGCGGAGCTTGTCCAGCTGTAACAGGTGCAGGCGTCTCATTAACAGACTGATTTTAATCCCCCGAGTTCTGTGCACAGTAGAGAGGACTGTCTAATCACATCATGGGTATATTTTCAGTTGTTTTTGAGGAAATTCCATACTGTTTTATCCTAACTGCTGTAGGCACTTATGCCCCACTCGCTCACACATACAGGGCTCCATTTCTCCTCATCACCAACACTTCCTCTCGCTTGTCTTTTTGGTGATGGCCATTCTAACCGGTGTGAGGTGACATCTCTTTGGAGTTTTTTGTTCCCTAACCATGGTGCTGGGCACCCTTGTGGTCCCATGGTTATCCATAGTCCTATTGAATAGAAACATTGAGGTTGGGCATCCTTTTGTAAAGAAAGGGAAAGTGTTTCACTATGGAATAATGAGTTGGCTGAGTTCCTGCATATGGTGTTTAGTTATAATTGCAATATAAATTCTGACTTTTAGTTTAGCAAGACATCTTATATGGGTCCTTTTTCTTAAACATATGATTTTTAATTATGAATTCAACCTCATTTGTTGTGACTTGTCTTAAGTCAAACTGGAGACCTTCTGCCTTCTACCTGGACATTTACAACTTTCTATACATTTGGAAAGCTTTCTGTTAAATCTTCAAGGCTCTTCTTTCCCTATTCCTTTACAAAGGAAATAGGTCTAGATTTTGAGGCAAGCCATTGGTCAAGAGCCTAGGACTATATGGCGTGGCAGGCTTGGAGACTCATGTCTCAGGTACTGGCTTGGACCTCATAGGGGCCTGCTTAGTGTTGAGTTCACTGAGGCAGCACCAGCATTGAGGTCCAAAGTCAAACTTGGTTCTTGGTTTTTCTTTGCTGCCTTTACCTGGAAGGCATCTCTCTCCATGCTGTATTGCTTGGGGTTAGAGACTGTTGAAAGTTGTCCTCTGCCAACCTCAATGTATCTTTTCTTATTTTCTTGCCTCATCTAGGTGCTGGGGTCACCACTCACCTGGTTCCCTTAGGCATTAGGTATTTTCATGCATACAGATGTTCAGTCTGATGAGGGGGAGGGCTGGGTTGGGGGATAATAACTGGATCGATTTCAAACCAGTTTTCTCCATTTTTACAAGTCTGGGCTACAATGCAAGCCTGTCTTGAAAGCAAATGACTCAAAACCCAGATAAGAACCAGTGCTCCCAGCACTGTTTATCTTAAAAGTCAAATAATTAAAACAGAGCAAATCAGTATATTTCTTTTTTCCTTTTTTTTTCTGGTTTTTTGAAACCAGGGTTTCTCTGTGTAGCCGTGACTGTCCTGGAACTCTCTCTGAAGGCTAAACTGACCTTGAACTCAGAGAACAACCTGCTTTTGCCTCCCAAGAGCAGGGATTAAAAGTGTGTGCCATTACTGCCCATATTAGTCAGGATATTTCTATAACAACAAAAATAATAATGCAAAAGACTCTCACAAACACATGTATTACTTAGATATACACACATACATTCATATATAAATCTGGGAGTATTTGACTTCTTTGGGAAAAAAGATAACATGGTTATGATTTATTTTATGCTGGTTACATAAGTAGTAAAATAAACAAGGTCTTGAAACTAGAGATGATAGTTAACTTTAAGAATGACATTCGGGCAGTGGTGGTGCACACCTTTAATCCCAGTACTGGGAGGGGGAGGCAGAGGCAGGCGGATCTCTGTGAGTTCAAGGCCAACCTGGTCTACAAGAGTAAGTTCCAGCACAGGCTCCAAAGCTACAGAGAAACCCTATCTCAAAAAACCAACAACAAAAAAAAAAGAATGATGTTTAATACAGTGGAATGAGTGACCCAGAGGCCTCTGGGGTGTTGGTCATCTGCTTTTTTTTTAATCTAAGTGATAGTTTCTCTTCGCAATCATTTAAATGCCACTTTTATATATGAATGTTAATCTGCAGTTAAAATTTTATTTTTTTTCTTTCTTTATTTTTTGAAAGAGAGTCTTGCTACGTAGCCTAGGTTGCCCTTGGACTTACCATTCCTCCCATCTTAGCATTCAAAGTGCCAGGATCACAAGTGTGTACAGCCTTGCCTAGTTAATTTTTATTTTTACAATATCAAAATTAACTACCTCTCCAAGGATTCATTGGGTAGAAGGGAAGGGAAGAGCACAGTGGGAGGGAGACTGGGGGGAGAGGGTTAATCATGTATTCAAAATGATCTTCTAGGGAGTTAAATGAAAATTCTTTGAGTGTATATGCTTATGTTTGTGTGCATACACGTGTATTCATCTGCATGTGTGTGCATATGTGTGCTGAGGCCAGAGGTCAGCCTCTGGTTGTGTTGTACTTTGCAGTTATCATGTACTTTTTATTTTTGTCCTGGACCTCGCTGACAAGTCTAGACTGCCTGTCTGGCCAGTGATGCCCTGGGATCCACCTGTCTCCATCTCCAGAGTGCTGGGATTGCAAATGGATGCCACTTTAGGGATCATTTTTAAATGGATCCTAGGAATCGAACTTATGCTTGCACAACACTTTACGGCCTGAAATGACTCCTCAGTCCCTGAAAATAACTTATTCATTGTAATTTGGACCAGGATCAGCGATACCCAGCCATGGGCTCCACACTAGCCCCTGTTCTGTGCCTATGGAAAATATAAAGCAAGAAAATTCTTCATTTTTTTTGGATGATGAACATCAGACCCATGCAAGGACCGACCACAATCAAGCCTCTGAGATAATAGGTAAGGAGGACTGCTGTAATTGCTACAGGTTCCCAGGCAAGAGGCTTAGACAAGTCATCAGGGTCCTTTGGGGCAGTACAGATAGCCAGGCAGAGTCAGGAAGGGAAAGAGATCCACCAAAGCCAACCTCCACCTTAGCAGAAGGAGGTGGGGAAAATTAAAGGCAGAAATGAGAAATGGAGGCTAATAAATGGTGAGGCTAGGCTTTCTTTTCTAAATTAAGAGAAGGCAGGTGTATGTGGTGGGGGGAGGGTCGGTAGGAGTTAAGAAGAGAGAAAAAATATCAGGGAACCAAAATACGTGTGAGAAGAGATGGGCAGGGAAGCATACCAAGGACCAAGGGGTCCATCGCTGGGTACAGATGAAGAACAGGAGGATGAACAGAGCCAAGAAGAAAGCTAAGGAGCAAGAAGTGAAAAAGAGGTAGGTGAGGGTATGGGGAAGTGAGAACCAGAATGAGGGTACAGACAAGATGCTTGTCAGTTGATAGGAAAGACCACCTCTATGACAGTTCGCTCAGTTGTTGGTTCAGCCTTGAACTAATAGCATTGCAAAGAACAGCATGCAGCATTGGGTTAACTGCTTGAGTCTTCCTAATCAATGTTCAGACTCTGGTGTTGCCTGCTGTGTGTGCCTGCTGTCACCCCTAAGATGATGTGGAGTATTTGATCACACTGGGTAAAGATGTGTCTCTCTTTTACCTCACCTGACTCAGGCACCTTTTGATTGGTTTGATAAGAGCTGAATGGCCAATAGCTAGGCAGGAGGGGATAGGCAGGACTTCAGATGGGCACTCAGGGAAGAATCTGAGGTGGGGATTTGCCAGCCAGATAGAAAGGAAGTAAAATGTACTGTACTGGGGAGAGGCAATGAGCCATGTGGCAGAGTGTAGATTTATATAAACAGGTTAGTTTAAGTTTTAAGAGCTAGTTGGGAACAAGCCTAATCTAAGGCCAAGCTTTATTATTAATAAGAAGTCTCTGTGTCATTATTTGGGAGCTGGAGGTCCAAAGAAAGTTCGACTACACTAAGATGCTTAAGGGGACTTTTCTTTCTTTCCTTCGTGCAGACCTTACCAGAGATAATTCTGATGATGGACCCAGATGCTCAGAGGAATCCACCTCAGTCACCGGCCAGTCAAGTAAGGAAGCCCAGGGAGCAAGATAGGCTGTGGGCATCTGCTTTCAAACTATTGATTTTTAATGGGTTTCACTCTGAGTCTGTTCTGTATGATGGATCCCTGAGACCTGTTCTGTGCATTGAATTTTACTTAATTCTTTTGGCAAATGCAGGAAAATCGTTGCATACAGTTTTGAGGATTAATCTTGTCAATCAATGGATCTTATTAGTAGATATACTCGTCCATTGTTAACATGACAGAAACAGGTGTGTGTGTGTGTGTGTGTGTGTGTGTGTGTGAGAGAGAGAGAGAGAGAGAGAGAGAGAGAGAGAGAGAGAGAGAGAGAGAAGAGAGAAGACAATCTCAGATGCTCATCCTATCCTCACCTTCCACTTTGTTTGAGACTTAACCTCTTGTTGATTGACATGTATGCCAGGCTAGCTGAACCACAGTCTTCCACAGATTCTGTCTTGGATACCTGTCCTGCTGTATGAACCCTAGGGTTACCGTTTTCACCCAAGTAAAGAGGATAAAGTTGATGCTGGGTGGAAAGGTCACTTCATTCCACATTTCTAGGGCCCTGAGACCTTAAAGACTGGCTTTGTCACCCACCATGCCCAAGACTCCATAGTAATCAGAAATGGAAGCAGATGGTGCACATATAACCTCAGAAAGGGCATGAGGTCTAAGAAATGATCACAGAAGAGAATGGCCACCAGGGCAAAGTTGGCCCCAGACCCAGCCCCAGACCCAGTGTTGGGGACAGTTTCTGGAGCAAGTTTGACCAACAGCTCAGATAAAGGCAAGGGTGGCCTGCTGACAGCATTGTCTCTATGCCTCCCAAATAAACTGCAGGTCTGTCCTACCCTTCCCACAAAGGCTGCAGGGTTACCCAACCCTACCCGTCCTCTCCCTCACAGGCTGACAGGACTATCCCTCCCCAGTTACCCTTCAATTGGGCAGGATTGAGCCTTCCTACACCCTCATACAGGTTTCTATTTGTGCATATGTGTAGATGTCAGGAGTTAATGTTAAATATCATCTTAGAAGAGAGGTAGATCTCTCTGCCTCATTTTGAGACAAAGGTATCACTCTGAACCTGGAACTCACTGATACAGTGAGGGTGGCTGGTGAGTGGGCTTCAGGGACCTTCCTGTCTATATCTCCTCAGCTCTGGGATCATAGATGCTCACTGCTGCACCCAGGTTTTTACACAGTACTGGGGATCTGAACTCAGGTCCTTATGCTTTGTGGCAAACACAGACTAGAACTGTTCAAGATTTTTCCTTCTGTTGTGCCAGCACCATTTCTTAAAGATGCTTTCTTTCTTCCATTGTATACTTTTAGCTCCTTTATCGAAAATGAGGTGTTCATAGGTTTGTGGGTTAAAATCCGGGTCTTCTACTCGATTCCATTGATCTACTCCTCTGTTTTTATGCCAATACCAAGCTGTTTTCAATACTGTAGCTCTGTAATAGAGTTTGAAGTCAGGGCTGGTAATGCCTCCAGAAGTTCCTATATTGTATAAGATTGTTTTGGCTATCCTGGGTTTTTTGTTTTTTCCATATAAAGTTGATTATTGTCCTCTCAAGATCTGTGAAGAATTTTGATGGGACCTTGATGGGGATTGCATTGAATCTATAAATTGCCTTTGGGAGAATTGCCATTTTTACTATGTTGATCCTCCCAATCCAAGAGCAAGGGAGATCCTTCCATTTTCTGGTGTCCTCTTCAATTTCTTTCTTCAAAGACTTAAAGTTCTTGTCAAATAGATCTTTCACTTCATTGGTCAGAGTTACTCCAAGATATTTTATGCTATTTGTGGCTATC